TTGAAGGGTCTGACAACCCTGCTTTGAAAGTTACTCCCAACTCGAACTCAGGAGCTCTCCTCCTCTTCAAAGGGCAGCTGAACTCTTTGTAGACCCACTGCTAACTCAAGAGAACCTTGAAATCAAACCCAGCCAAGGCACTCGGAAGTTGTTTTGCTGGTGCTGCTGCAGCCCGGTTCTCCTCCTCCTCCTCCCTATTAGCAATCATGTAAGCACCACAACGTGTGAAAAGAGGCTCTGCTCCCCCAGCTAGGTGGAAATGAGCAATGGAAAACAGATGGGACACGCAACACACAGATCCCCATCTCGAGAGCCTTGGGAGATGGAGAAGGTCAGCACTGGCACGGCGTGGGTCACACTAAGGCAGGGCTCTCTCCTCGTGGGTCAGGCTGACATTTCCTGAGGGATCAGGCTGGTCAGAGCATGAAATCTTCATGACTTATACCCATTGGAACCTGCTGAACTGGGTGGGTTATTTACTGCAGGCCGTGTAAGTAAGTGTAGGAGTGCAGCAGAGTCCTGCAAAGATAACCAGGATAACTCTTGGAAAGCAGAAGAAAGAAACATCTACTCCCAGTGACAACCCCAACCAAGAGCAAAGCAGAACAAACCACCGGGCTCCATTGAGCCCTGTAAAGTCAAAATGGCTCCTCCAAGGAGTAAAGCTGTGATCAGAATAAGGGGGGTACAGCCCTACCTGTGAACAAGGGATTTCATCAGCTGATGAGGGATTATGTGCTCCAGTTTTATTATTCCTGAAGCTCTGTGTATATAAATCCCCATTTAGTTGTGACTATAAAACCCAAGCACAGAACCCAGCCTGACAAGATGGTCAATAACCATTTGAAACACTCCAGAAAGGGGCATTAGGATGTTTTAAATCAAGACAGACATTGCCAGAGGTGTTCATCATTGAGGCTGGCTATTAAAACTCAAAATGAATTGGTGTCTTTTGAAAGCAGCAGTTTTCTGGACCAAGCATGTTGTGAACGTGTCAATGTTATAACAAATACAGCTGGAACCATCTGAACCTGATGAACATCCCATTTTGCAGAAGCAGCCTCTTGTTACAGGAGGTGCAATGACTTAATGAACCTTCTGGATGCACACGCAAGGCTCCAGATGAACTACCCTCATGAATCATGATGGGTTTCATGGCTGGAGAGGTTTTATGCATCATCCCTCCTTCACAACATCTGCTTCTGCCCAGGGAAGGAGGGAACAAGGAGAAAATCCATAGGGCAAGCATCAGCAAACCACTCATGCTCTTATGATGGGAGCCGGCCATTCCTATGGAGCTTTTTCTTTGGCACAGTGGGACGGACACGGATCAGGGCAGCCTGAAAAGCTGGGACAAAGCTGGACTTTCTGGAAGCAGCCAATATACCAGCAGTAACAGGGCAAAAGGTGAATTTCCTGGCTGCAGGAACACAACCAGAGACAGAAGCAAACCATACGCAGCATCAGTACCAATCCTACAGCCCAGCTCACAGCCTCTCTTTGTACCAGTCCCTAAGGGGTTTGGCTTCTTATCTCCCCAGCTCCCTTTCTCCCTTTCATCAGGGGTTTACTACAGGACTTGAACTGCCTGGGCGCTGATGAAAGAGATGCTACGTGAGCAGGGTCTGCTTCTCCCTGCGTGCAGTCTGCTCCAGCAGCCCTGGTGCACGATAACTGCCTTGGAAGGGGAACATAAAGCAAAAATGGGGGAAAATATTATGACAGCCTCTGGAAGGAGGGAGAAAAATAGAGCAGAGCCTGGGTGGTGCCGCTGAGATGGGCCCAGCAGGTCCTGGGGAGTGCTGCAGGAGTCCCCAACCCACCACCTCCTGCTCCAGGGCTTACCCAGCCAAAACACTGCCTAAAACCTCTGCAGCCGATTTGATGAAGCAGCTCAAATTGAAGGGAAAAAGTACTAATTGAATACAATGAGCTTTCTCTACAGTGCCCCCAAACCCCAGGGCTCGCTTAACAAAAGAAATGAAATTTCCTTTCTTAAAAGGACACTACTTCAAACGCCTCTTTCCAATTAGTAAATCCATCTGGATTTACTGACAGAACATCCACGCAGGAATGCCAGGGTACCACTTCCTAAATCACAGCCCACCAAAAGTCAATCAAGTCATTAAAGCGAGCCCCGATTCCCTCTAACAAAGTTAGGGAGTTAAGAGCATCGGCAGCACGATGTCAGAAGCTGATCGCATCCCCTCGGCACAGACATCCGTGTGTCTGGCATGGACAACGAGCGAGCAGAGATGCTGCTGGTTAACCAGGTACTTCAATAGACATTTATTTGCTCTTTGGGTCAGCAGCCAGCTCAGATTCTATTGCTTTTAACCCCCCAAGACCAGAACTGTGCTGACCATCGAGGATGCTCCCAGCTGGGTACCAAAATGATACTTGGTACTTTACAGCCACGTTGCTGTGAGCCCCTCTGCCCCGGCACACCTAGAAAGCATCTCCTTGAACACAAGATCTCCCACCTGCAGTAGAGGGGTGAGGATGTTAAAGAGAGTGGAGGAGGCTGCTGGGGAATATCACTGCCCTCCCACTCCGCTCCATGATCTGATTTGGAGCGACGTGAATCACTTGGCACCAGGACACGATAAAGAATCAACATGCCTCGCTGTTCAATACACAGCTCCTGGGAGCGTGAGTCACAGCTCAGGTTTCAAGGTGGGATGTTGAATGTAAATCCTTTCTGAGAACTACCCGAGAACACCACGCACGGAGCTATGATCTAAGGGGTCAAACCTGGCCTCCCAGTCCCGCAGCCTGCGGTGACCCTGACAAAGCCATTTCCCCTGGGTTTAGTGCCTCAGGCTCCAGGAGGATGAGCTGCTCCGAGCCATGGGCTGCAGTGGGGAGGTCTAGGGAGCAGGAGAGCCCGCCAGCTCCCTCCAGAGCATGAGAAAGGGCTTCACCTGCACCCAGAGGGATGAACAAACCCTCCTTAGCTTTATCCCAACCTGCTCCAAGGGAGGCAGAGAAACACAGCTTACATCCCTTTCCTACTCAGACGTACTAGAGACAAGGCTGGATTCTCTTTCGTTTGTAGTAATTAAAGCCTAGTGATTATTCCACTTGTCAAATACCAAGTCTAGACACAGCCTTTTCACTGCAATTCATACCAAATCCACCCATGCTCCAGTTCACATGGATACACGTGCCTTACACGAGGCAGCCAGCTACTACTGCATGTCCCCCATCTCCTTTGCCACAGGTCTAAAAGCAATCTCCTCCCTTGCTTAGCGCGGCTACATGGATCCCACCACACACGTGAACACCTCATCATTTCTGCTCCCAGCCTCTCCTATAGCCACGTTAACCCAGTGTTTGCACCTCAGACACACAGGGCCCTGGAGAGATGCACGCTTTCCCACTCCCAGCCATCTCCATCCCAGCTCCTCGCCACCATCCCCAGACAATGCAAGCCGAGGCAGCGGCGCGCTCTGGGAGGGATCTCTCTTTTCCCAGCTTTAGTGGTTTTAAAACCTCGAGATGCGAGGGAAGGGTCAATGATTCAGCTGTGATTAAGTCTGCAACATTCCACTTCCCACCCGTTAGACTTTGCAAACACCCGTTTTGCTCCCAGAGCACAGCCAAGCAGCCCCAGCGCTGGGGCAAGCTGCTTGCTTGGAAGGCTTTGAGGTGGCTTTGTGAAAGCACCCAGTTCATTTGCAGTGAGCAACAAAACGATAGCAAGAGGCAATAAAAGAATCTCTGTATTGTGGATCCTTAATAGCACTGCCCCAGAGAGAGGGAAAACAACCAAGTCTGATGGAGATTCCCTATTCTCAAAACCATTTGCACTGTTATTGTCTGCACCTAAGAGCAGATGAAAACAGAAAGCCCAGCAGCTGACGTCCCTGACAAGCGCAGGGCTGCCTGCTTCTGAGCTTGATCTTGAAGAACAAAATTGAACTGTACCTGGGACGGAAAGTTTCCACCTTACAAAACCACCACAAACCTTACAACAGCCTTAGAGCCTGCAGGGCTGGAGCAGCCTTTGAGCTTGCACTTGCCCCAGGAGCTCAAAGACTCCAAGGATGCAAAGCCCACTGAGTCCAGCACAAAACTTTCTTCCATCCCATTGGAAAAATCCAAGCTGGTATTTAAAATCCTGAAAAATCCCATGGATTTGGAACACTTCATGAGATGTGCAATTAAGCAACGTGGTTAAATTACAACCTGATTTAAGAGGGCAGCAAAAAGAAGGATCGGTTCTTCATCTTGATCTGCTCCCAGCTGCACTCAAGATACCGTAAACCACTATTTCACTTTCCAACCAAGATAAAGCAATAGGACTAATTCACTCAATTACATTTGTCAGCTGAAAAGCTGCTGTTAAACAAGAGGAAAAGAAAGTTGTGGTGCCTCAGAGGATGTATCCTCACGCAGGCAGGATGGCCACCACCGTCCCACATACACGCCAGGGGCCGGAGGAGCCAGATGAGGTTCCATGACTTTGACTCAGAAGTTCCTTCCTTAAAGGATGGAACGGCTGCCAACGAGACAATTTCTTCCACACTTCAGCAGCTACAATTCCATTAACCTCCAAACCAAGGAGTGACAGCACGAATGCCAGCCCCAGCCTGTAATTAGGGAGGGCCACCAAGGGTCACTGCCATGGGGCACCTTCAACGCGGTGTAATTTGGCGAGGGCAGGCGGCTAGCACTAGCTGCACCCACGCTGGAAATCCACTTCTCTCCAGCTAAGCTGATGAGTTCCTTTCCCCAGTGGATGAGACAGCTAATTATCAATAATTCATGGGCACAGACAGACGTGCAAGTGGTTTTGAGAACTGAAGGAGAAACAGAAGTAATGATTCTTGGAATCGGAGCCAGCAGAGAGATCCAGAGAGGGAAGAGAAGGTGCGCTCTGCATGCACATGTCAGACCCAATCTCATTTCAATCACATACGTGACAGCCTAGGTGCCAGTGTAACCGGGGTGTTTCCCCCGTACGCTCTGCAGCTGGTATATGACAGGATGCTTGCCTGGATGGAGCCCAGCTCTACCTATCCGGATGGACAACTCGCTCTCGTAGGCCGGCTGACGGGCAGGTTCATGCTCATACTTTTCCTTCATCACTCGCTGGTCGAAGCTCATGGCAAACGCTGCGTGTGGAGGCCCGCTGAAACCCTGCAAGGCAAGAGAGAAGGTCAAGGGTTTCCCCACGTATCCCCATCAACCTTTTCCCAGCACCATCCTCAGGAACTGCTCTGGCATCCGTGTACTGGGAAGCCAATCAGGGCACGTGGCACAGCTGCACGGAGAGGGGGCTTTGGGGTCCCCTCTTTCTATCCAAATTGTTAGCTCAATGTTCATTTCCAGCAGAAGCATCAAGAACAGGGTTAGGAGGAGCCAAGAAGTACAGGGCTAAAGAGAGAAAGCCAAAATTCACGTGCATTAACAACAAGAAATGCAATTCCATGAACGCAACTCCAAAGTCAACACGAAGGAGACCAGCAGGCAAGGAGAGACATTCACGAGCAGCTCGGAGGGTTGAGCTGCTGGGCTGACCTCTGCCAAAGTTGAGTTTGCAGCAGGGTACCTGTTACTTCAGCTTGGATGGAGTTCTCCAGGGAAAAGGTTTGTTCAAAACTGAACCCATCTGAGCATCAGCTGAGACACCACGTTCATAACCACCCAGTGTGAGTGCAGTGGGACTCATCCAGACGGCCTGATGAAACTTCAGGCTCGCTTGGAACCTATTTCTACACCATTTATAGGCTCCAGAAAGCAGAGAAGGACAGCCAAAACCAACAGCGTCCTGCTCTGCATGAAGTCTGCAGGGAATTCAAGCAGACACCCTGTGGCAAACAGACCGCATTGTACCCATGAGTGATTCCTGCCAACCTGGATGTGGCTCGTGAAAACCAGTCACAACACAAGGATGTGCCAGAGACTTTATCTGCATCAGCCAAAGAAAGCCTGGCAGATACCATGGCCTTTTCCCCATGGTGCTGGACACGCAGAGGAAGGTCGAATGTCCTTGCGGACACCCCAAGGCTGCTCCATCCCACCCAGAGAGAGCTATAAAACTGGTAGGAAATAGAGACATAACCACACAGCTAAGAGAAGGAAGTGTGTCCATGGAGGTGGCTGTACAACCTGGCCAAAACACAGGGAGCAGGTCCTCAAGTCCCTGTGTCCTCATAGGACTGGGACCCATCCCTTGTGAGCATCCCCAGGGAAGGATGTCCAGGCTGCACAGGAACACAGGCTTAGCTGGTGGACTGATGGCAGCAGAATAAATGAACATACATGGAACAGGCAGAGACAGTAATGAGAGACTTGATGGGTAAGGTCACATTAAACAAAAGTAAAGGTTAAAGATGAATAACTAAATCTTCTACTCTCCCCTCATTTGCATAATATAGGCTGACCGGTACTATTAATACTCATCACATATTTGCTATCTGCTCTCTATTGCAGTTTAATCAGGTGCTTTCACCTCCCTTCACCCAGCAATTACAAGGTGCACGGGTGAGGTGCTCGGTTCAAACCCCTCTGGGAGGGGGGAGACCCACACGGCCCCACTGTGCCAGCTCATAGCAGACACCAGCAGCTCCGCACCTTCCATCCCCAGCAGCAGCTGGAGGAGCAGGCAGTTTTCCAGCAAAAGCTGGATGACACAGAGAGCAAAGAGGGGAACTTCAGCATCGTGACCTGACTTTAATAAAGCAGGAAGAGACTGAGAATGGAAACTGATTTGCAAGCATTGCATGGGGCTCTCCAGCCCTGCTCTCGCAGCTGGCTGCCTCCTGCTTGCCATCGCTCTCACCTCAGAGATGGGAAACACCAGGTTTCATGGAGCAGAAGGCTCCTTCCCCATGGCCCTTGTTAAAGGAGCTACAATCACTGCAACAGCAGCTTTGCAGGCTTTATCACCACCAGACCTACAGCTTTTCCCCAGCCCAAAGACTCAAATGGGTCTTGTCAGGCAGAGAAGCAAGCCCAGAGCACAGCCAGAGCCCGCAGGACTCTGGAAGTTACAATAACTCAACCAAAGGGGAAAGAAATCCCTTGTACAAGCAGGAGCAGGCAGGTAACTTTCCATTCAGCATCCAATCTCCATTGCCATCTCCATAGATGCAAACAAGCAAGGTCCCTAAAGAGGTCAAGGCCACTTCCCTTGAGGTCTGCAGCCCTGATGAGGAGCCTCCCGTGGCTGTTTGCTGTGCCACCATTCCCAGCACATCCAGTACCTATGGATGCGGTACCCACAAATCTGCTTGCAGTGAAACGGAGGCAAACTTGAAGACATTTCAGATGCTTAATGTAAGGTCAGGTCACCTCCTGTTGCAGGCAGGGATATACACCACCAGGAATATGGGGAAATATTGGTGACCTTCAGTAAAGCACACGCTTCAATCCAACTGTGATTGCTCTGACTCATTCCAGCCCAGCCGCTGCATGAGGCCCCTAATTGGAATGTGGCAGTGGGTTAAAGAAGCATTAGGAAGAGAAGAGGAAAGTCAACCCACGTTAATTAGTTCATGCCAGTAATTAGCATTAACTGAAATAACCACAAGGGCTTCAAAAAGCGAGCTGCAATGAGAGGCTCGGACGGGAAGATCTGGGAGGAAACCCATTCTGGGATGCGGGAGTCCCCACTGCACTCGCCTCCGCTCGCGGAGCTACAAGGGAAAGGTCATTAGATTGTCACAGCCCCGTGTGTGAAAACAGACAAGGAAACAGAGGAAATCTCTGCAGAGAGCCTGATCCTGCTTTTGTTACCCAAAAGCTGCAGCAGTCCCGAGCTAATCCGTGTGGAAACACGTCCCTCTCCAAGCAATGTGGCCATCACCCTGGTATCGACAGTAGCACCCTGGTATTGCAGGGCAAAGGGGTCAGACAGCTGCTTGGTTTCAGATTAAGCAAGGATTTGGGGTTGCATCCTGCCCCTCGCACAAGTTGCTAAGAAAGAAATGAAGAGTGAGTGAGGCCTTTGAGAAACAATCTGTTCTTCCCCACCTGACCAGGGATGGGGAATAATTTAATTAATAGAGGTGACAAAAGTTGCTGGTCTGATTTTGGGTAGATCACTTGGTACCAAATCTGGAGGTGCTGCTTGTCTGGGATGGTTGGTGATGCTGCTCTACCCATGCAATATCATACTGGCTCTAACCCAGCAATCAGGCTCCACATAGCCCAAGGAAACAAAGACCATAATGCATCAATTAACGGCAGAAAGCACCTCGACAGGGAAGAGAAATGGAATAAATCCAACTACCTTATTAAAAAAGAAATAGCAAATGTTCCTAACTTGTCCAGGAGCTAACACGGAGACAATAACAGGCAATAACAAGTTGTGCTCGGATGGTGCCCAGCGGCTCCCATTTCACACTTCCTGAAGGAGACACAGTGATAACAGATCAGACACCAGAAAGCAGTGAGACAAAGAGCAGGGTGCGGAGGGCAGGGAGGGGAAGGGGAGATGCTACAGGTCCCCAGCCCACAGGGATGGACCCAGCAGGTCTCTGCAGCCCCCTATACCCTGGGGAGCTGTGCATCAGCTCCACTGCTTCTGCACATCTACAGAGCCCAGGGTCTCTGGGGATGGAGGCAAAGGCTGGGCAGCAACAAAGCAGCGAGTCCCTGGCTCTTCTGAAGCAGAAAACCAGGTTTATGTTCCAAATGTGACATAGGAAGGGAGCTCCCTTAGAAAGCACTGTTATCAGAGAGCCCACTTGCATGTAAAGCAGCAGGCTGGTATTTGGTTATGTGAAGCAATATATCAAAGGCTGGATGCTCCCAAGCGAAGCTCCGTGCTGGTTCCATATCCCCGTGCCTGCAGCACTTGTTTGTAACCCCCTGAGAGCTGAGGAAGGAGCAAGCGATGGTGAGGCACCCCATGCTCCCTCGGTACCCCTTGGTGTCATCTCTTGAGACCTCAGCTCCCAAAGTCCCTGGAGCACAGAGCTGGGCAGGTGAGGATGTGACCGGGATGGGGTTTAAAGGCCACAGTGAGGGGTGCTGCAAGAATCCAGGATGCCACAGAGCATCCCACCATGCTCCCAGCACAGCATCCCTGAGAACTGCCCCATCCCTGGCAGTGTCAGCTTGGAGCAAGCTGCTCTAGTGGAAGGTGTCCCTGCCCATGGCAGGGGTTGGAGCTGGAGGAGCTTTAAGGTCCCTTCCAACCCAACCCAAACCAGGTTGGGATTCTAAACCAATGCATCTCCCAGGCTCTTCTGGGATAAAACCAGCACGACTTTGGTCAATATTGACCTGGCACATATTGATGGGTTAAGGGAAGGATTCAGCAGGACTTGAATGGCAGCTCCTCTCAAAGCCATGATCACGGACATCCCCCCACTCAAAACACTAAGATCAACAGCTCAAGTGCAACCTTAAATACTCCACACAATAAAAATGAGCTCTTCTCACCACTGAAGTGGGTGCAGTCATATTTATGATGAGTTGCATCTGATGCACAGCTCTGGGACACAGCAAATCTCCCTTGTTTTAGCCCCAAGCCCAGTCTACAACTGGGTCTCACCAGCAGCACCCAGACCCCTTTGATCCAACAAAAGGCATCCCTATAAATTGGGAATAAAGCTGGGGACACCCAGCACAGCCTGGACCACAACAGCTCCAGCTGCCAGAGTAACCCCAACCCCACAAACGGAAAAGATGAGCACGGTACTGCTGGTGGACATCAGCAGCTCCTGGGGTCTGTGAGCCTAAACCAAGCCCCCATCCCAACAGCCAGATCCCAAATACATCCTTGTCCCACCACGACATCAACAGCTCCAGAGGTGTCAGGTTGGGATTGAAGTGAGGGGGCTGGATAGGAATTGCTCCTCGACTGGAATTCCAGCAGCACCAGCTTGCTCAGCCCCAGGCAGGAGCAGAACAACCCTAAGCAGAGGCAAATGATTGATGCAGCAGACACTTAATGCAACAGCATCCTCATGGAACTCAGTTTCCCAAGGAGGAACACACTCCAAAGGCTTGATCCTGCATCACACCAGCACCACAGCCCTCCCCGCCTGCACTGGGAACACCAACATCTTCCAAGAGCTACAGGGGGGAAGCCCGAGGGCTTCCTGCTTCCCACATTGAGCATCTTCCATCTGGCTGCTCCAGCCCCACATCCTCCCCCCTGCCCCACACGCAGCCCTGCCTGCAGC